CAAATGAGTCATTTACTTTTAGTATATTCTTATATGGAGATCATCATTCAATTTATTTATATGATATCATAAGGTCTTTATACCAAAAAAATTATTTCCTAAACTCTTAAATCCTCTTAAATTCTCAATATCTGTTAAAATTATAGTCACAAGAAAGATTATTTTACTTTTTAGGTGATTTCTTATGGTGCTTGTGTCAGTGCTGTCATAGTGCCAGACAAGACAGGGAAGAAGGACCACGTCACACTTGGCTTTGATAAATTTGAAGGTTGGTTTCTGCTCCTTTCAGTCCTTTTCCTCGATTAACGGTTTAGATATTGCTCTGAATTTATTATTGCCCTGTGGGATTTATAATTTTTTCTTTCTTTCTTTTAATCTTATCTAATTTGTTCTCATTATTACAGTAATAAACAGGTGATTGTTTACTTCTCCCTTCAGTCTCTAATAAATTTGATATTTTGGTATTAGGAAAATATTACTTACTGTTATGTTTTTCACTTCATCTCTATATTTTTTTCTCTCCCTGATAGAGGTTTTTTTTTCCCTTATTAAATCAAGTGCTTGGAAGTAACATTTTTTTCTTTCTTTTTCTATTAAAAGACTATACAAAAATAAATTATCAAGGGAGCACCATAGGACGCCACGCCAACCGCATTGGAAAAGGGAAGGTGACAATTGACGGAGAAGAGTGCCAGTTGACAATTAACAATAATGCCAATCACCTCCATGGCGGGAAGCGCGGATGGGATAAGGTCCATATTAGTTTTTGATGTTTGAGTTTTTCTTTTTTCATAAACAAATAACTGCAGTTCATAGGTGGTATACTTGGAATATTTTCCATATTTTCAATAATTTATGTAGATTCTGAACTATGCTACTGTTTTTTTACTTTTCTTTTCTTTTTTCTTTTCTTTTCTTTTCTTTTCTTTTCTTTTCTTTTTTCAGATTGGTGACACCTTAAATAGCTACTTATTGAATATTCTTTTCTTCCATAGTACATCTGGGAGAGTTACATTAACAATGGGAGTGTCTTCTTCTCCCACTTCAGCCCAGACGGAGACCAGGGGTATCCTGGGGATGTTTTAGCACAGGTAAAGATGCAGGAGGAAACCACAAAGATTCTTGTACACATTCTTGATTCATACATATGAGTAGAGGAATGTACCTTTTACATGTTTTGTTATTTTTATTGTATGTATCTGTTAACCTGTCTTGGTTTTGTGTTGTGTAGCTAATACAGTATATGAATGGTTAGCATTATAGACTTTCATAGTTTTGTTAAATTTTGCATTCAAATGATATATATCTTATTAGTTAAGTACTTAACTATACTTGTTTATACTGTTTTTGTTGAATACTATACTATCTAACTGCAATACATGAAGATAAGATGAAATTGAAAATAGATTAAAAACTAAGAATTACAAAATTTCAGGTGAAATACACTCTAGATGATGAAGGCGGCCTACACATTGATTACGAAGCCATGACAACACGTGCAACAACAATCAACATGACAAACCATGCCTTTTTCAACCTGGCTGGACATGTGAGTATGATAATCCACAATTGTTGCTCATTTTTTACGTATTTTTCCTTCCCTTTTTGCGAGGGAAGTTAAATAGCCAGTCCTTGTGGTAATCCCTAATTAGCAGATGAAGTAGACTATAATAGTTTTTTAAGCTTAGTTGTGATGTGCATGAAGAAATGTTGAAATTCCTATCAAATAAACAAACTACATAATATATTTTGTGTGTTTTTTTCAGGCTGCAGGACAGAAGGGGTTGTTTGAACATGTTGTAAAGTTGAATGCTAATTGCTTCACACCTGTCTCAGATCAGCTCATTCCAACAGGTTTGTCATAATCGTTAGTGAAAGCAAGTTGAACATGAACTGACTGGTATGTCATTAAATAACTGAAGAGAGGAATAAAAGGTTTGGGAGAATATTTACATGAAAATTTAAGAAAACAAACATTGATAGTACATACCTACTTTGCTATGTTATGTACGAGCATTCATGCATAATATCTAAAACATACAGATACTGTATGTAAATGTACTTAAACTTCAGTACATAATGAGGGAATTATCTACACTACAGGAGAACTAGCCCCCGTAGGAGGGACAGGATTTGACCTCCGCAGCCCGACCACCTTCAAAGAGGCCCTTACTAATGTTCCTGGAGGAATTGATCACAATTTCTGCATTCACGAAAAGCGCAGGGGACTTCTGGAGTTTGCTGCTTCCTTTCATCATCCTCCATCTGGTATGCTGACTCAGAATTGTATATGGATTATGTCATTCTGGTGTTGATTGAAAAGTGCATATATGATGTATGTAATTCTAGTTTATTGAAGGCTATATGTGGTAATGTGACTTGTGTGTGTATTGAGAATTAGCCTAATTATGGTTTTGTAATTCTTATTTTTATAGATAGGATAAGTAAGTAGTTCAAGTTATTGTTATGCTTATGGAGAACTATGTATGGATTATTGAGACTTGTATACATATTGTATAAAGATTAGATTTCTTGTGTCGGAGATGAGTAATTCAGGAGTTCCATATGCATAGCCATACTTTATTATGATCATATTCATCATTATTATTATTATAGTTATTGTTATTATCGTTGTTACTGTTATCATTATTATTACTGTTACTGTTATTATTATTATTAATATCATTATTATTATTATTATTCAGGTAAGTTGACAGGTTATGGATGGCTGATGATTAATTGATAACTAAACAAGCTTCTGATGAAAATTATAGTGAAATACAGTGATGTTATTCAACTATATTGCATTCTGCCAGTTACAATAAACCTCATAAGTGTATCTTCAAGTTGTTATAGAAAAATTATAATAATAATAATACTAAAAGAAAAGAGAGAGAGAGAGAGAGAGAGAGAGAGAGAAGAGAGAGAGAGAGAGAGAGAGAAGAGAGAGAGAGAGAGAGAGAGAGAGAGAGAGAGAGAGAGAGAGAGAATTCACTTTTAATGATTAATATGGTAAAGGAGAGATAATTATTTGAATGTAAATTAATATCATTGGCCATCTATGCTTTATAAATTCATTCTAATATTTCTGGTTTCAGGTCGCGTGTTAGAAGTTTACACAACCGAGCCAGGGTTTCAGGTTTATACAGGCAACTTCCTCCCCAAAGATGAAGGTGCTATGGTAGGAAGGAATGGTTCTTCATATAAATTCCAAGGTGCTTTCTGCTGTGAGCCTCAGAATTACCCTGATGCCATAAATCATGTAAGTAGCTTTCAGATGATCTTTCCAATTGTGCTATATAAAGGAAAAGGAAAAATTAAAAGGTATGAGTTTTAAAAACCTATACACTGATGTTTGACTGCATTTTCCTTGCATGTAGGAATATAGAAAAATTATGAAGGATTTCTTATCTCTGTTTACAATATTTGAAGTTAGGTAATCATAAATAATTGGTATTGTAAATGATATTCAAGGTACTACATAATCTTAATGATCAATATTCTAAATTATATTCAATTCAGTAAATAATTTCATATTGGAAACTTTTTTTTGTTTTCTTTGAACAATTTCAGGATCTTTACAGTTTAATTTTTTTTAATCTGCAAAATTTCTTTTCAGAAACATTTTCCAGAAGATGTTTACTGTCCTGGGAAGCCTTACAAGCATTCTATTCTCTTTAAATTTTTAGTTAGAAAGTGAAATATTTTATACTTGAATAGAAAAGGTTACCAACTCATATCAGATTATTATATAATTAAAAGTACATATAGTGTCTTTTGTTCATTTACTGGACATAATAATTCGTTCTAAGTATACATATTTTGAAGAAGTATATCAGTATGAAAATCAAAATGATTGTGCCATTGCAGCTATTACAAATTTATTAGAAATATTATATTATAGAGAAGATTGTTAAGTCAAGAAAAATAGTCACAGAAATTTTCACTTTAGATTTCAAAGTGAATTGGTTGAGGAGTGTTTGGTTTTGAGTTTTTTTGGTGATATTGTTAATCTTGATTCAGATTAGTGATATCGTTGTTTGATTTTCTTTTGAATTTGCGTGCTTGTTATGGTGTGTGGTATTACAGGAGTGTTGGAAGTGCCAAGTTAATGGAGATGGAATATTGATGATTATATTTTATTCTCCCTTTTTTTCATGGTTAACACTTACATATAACATTTATATTTAATTCAATCTTGTGATGATGATGGCCTTGTTTATTCCCTGAGACTCGCCTATTTGAAGTGAAGGTTGTGCCTTTGTGTGTCTTCTTGAACTGAATTGGTATTTGTGCCCTCGCTTACCTGGAAGCTTTTCTTATCATCAACCGAGGTCCATCACAAGAATGTACACACACACACACACACACACACACACACACACACACACACACACACACACACACACACACACACACACACACACACACACACACACACGCATACACGCAGATACACACACACACACAAAGACATATGTAGTGTGTATGTATAATGTATTTCTATGCATATTATTATTTATCATGTATTAATTGCCTATTTTAACCCCTTGGTGCCGGGTATGATGTGTATGTACGTGCTATGCCCACCGTGAGTACTTGTTTGATTGTTTTTACGCATAGATGGCAACACTTATACTAAATCACCAATGAGCCAACTACAAGCACCGCCCATCTCGCCTGTTTACCCGTTTCTTTGATTTACAAAATATTTTACGTAAACTTATTTTGCTGTTACTAATGTTAAAAAAGATTATAAAAATTATAATGTTTATGATAAAAGTAACACCATCAATTTTCATAGCACTAGTGAAAAATACGTTTTTCCTGCCATTTCAAATCAGGCGCTAGCAGAGCCATCTATCGGCAGACATTTCACGAAAAACATAGAAAGTGGGCACAATATTTTCCCCATTTTTTGTTCATTTTCCCCAGCACCATTGGGTTAAAATATACATTGTTATATATATGAAATTGAAATATGTTTACTGATGTTGTTG